TATTGTCTCTGTTTTGTTGATGTTGATCTTCATGTCGTAGTTGTTACAACTCCCAAAGCCCAACCCCAGGTCCACGTTCCGGGAGGTGGAAACTGGACAAAGTAGGGGATTGCTGGGTTCAACGAAGTAAGGTGTGGCTTTATGCCACCGAGGCGTCACGCTAGCCGTGAAGGAGAACCCGGGTCACCCCGAAAAGTTGCAGGCTAACGGGACTCTGGTGAAACAGGCTTAGCAAGTCGGCAGCGGATTATTTATTGCTACAAACACAAAGAGAAGAAATAAACGGACTGACAAAAACTATATACAAAAGGTATTAAACACGGAGAAGTCTAAGCAGAGAATACAAAAACCAAATGCGAGGCATCATGGTGAAATCCAGCGCTCGTCAAAATAATACAATCGAAGAAATTTGCATTTTCCCGCCAGTTTGTCAATTTTGATCGATTTTTTTTTCTTTTTGCTGAACACATTTCTATGTGGATTTCACTGAAAAACTTCGATAAAAGCTCACAAATGTAAAGTTTTCGTTTCTAAGAACTCTCAAGCTTTGTAAATAACCAAACTTTGGCGGCCATTTTCTCGCTAATTTTACCCTGAAATCAGGCGACTCCCATCTTCTATAATCGCACATATCTCGACTTGTATTCAAGGTAGATGGACATTTTTTCACTGAAGGCTAGACAAATGAACAAGCTTTAAGATGGTACCAATAACTCTACAAGCCCAAAAATTGACGAGCGCCTAATTCCACCTCAAATTGACGTCCTCCTCGGCTAGGACAAAGACACCGTCAAAGACAAAGGCCGTGATCGCATCAGTCCACATTGACAGAGACCGTCGTATGATTCAGGCCAAAATACAAATAAACAGCAGGCTTATGAGACTCGTGAGGATAAAGCGACACACCCCCTGAACATTTTTATACAGGAACTGGAACTACACAAGGCGACATTCCAACTGGAACTACACAAGGCCACATTCCAACTGGAACTACACAAGGCGACATTCCAACTGGATCTGAAAAACAGATTCAATGTTCCTGAAGGAAACCCAGTTTCCTTTGAATCACTATGCATCATTGCAAATAAAAAAAAAGCAGAAACGATTTTTGAATCAATAGCAAAACCAGTTTAAGGACTCCCCCCCCCCCCCGAAGAAGATAAGATAATTGACGATCTGTATATGAGGAGGAAAGAGCTGCATAAACGAGAACACAAAACCGATATAAGAAAAGACTGAATACGCTGAACTGAACATAATGGAGAAGCAAATAATATACAGAAGCAAAGCCAGAAGGAAGAGAAAGAGAAGAATTATGCAAATTCTAGAAAGCGTCAAGGGACCTAAAAATATACAAACATGGATGCCAAAACAAAATCACAGGCGAGGTAAGCTCTGATAGAGAGGAGATACTAAAAGAATGTGAAGACTTTTATTTTTTAAACATAATTTCTAAAAATATTTAAAAAAAACAAACAAAAAACCCCAAAAAAACAACAACCCCCAACTAAAAAATCAGTGACAACTCCAACAACAGTACTGAAATCAAATCCAGATATTGAATAATACCCCCCCCCCCCCCTTTTTGGCTGAAGAAGAAAGAAGAAATAGAACTGTCTTTGAAAAAGATGAAACTTAATGAAAATGCCTAGCAATGACTGTATAGCAAGAGGCATGCTAAAGATGGGAGGACAACTTGCTACAACGAAATATATATCCAAAGCTTTCGATAAAATTTACCTACTTTAAATGTATCTGAATGTTGACAGGAAAGAAAAATAACCATTCTCTGTATAAAAAAGGGAGACAAAAGAGACATAAAGAGCTACATACAAATCATGTTTACTATCCTATTCTTACAAACTGCTTACAAAAATAATCCAAAATCGGATGTAAAAAAAAATGGCCTGACGAGGAGCAACCAAAAAAGAAAGCTGATTTAAAAACAATAACAACAAACAAATCCAACAACAGACCATTTACAATAATTAATAAATGAAGTAATTAAAAAAAAAGATCACGAATACAAATAACCATTATGCGTAGGTTTTTATCGGCCATGGGAAAAGCCTTTGTGTTCATTGGACAGTCTGAAATTTTTGAGACTCCCAGAAAATGAGCTGAAATAGATAATTTATACATTGTCCATTCATATAATCGTAAACCCCCCCACTGAGAGGCGCAGCTCAAATCAGTCTTAATAACCACATTATTACATCAGAATAGTTTGCAATCGAATGGAGAATGAGACACATAGACGCCAGATCACAAAAAGTATTCACTGTAACAATCAGAGAAATATTCTTTTAAACAGCACCGCTTTGTACAGGAGATTTAACAGATTAAGAACACCTGAAAGATTTGAGTCGATGGAGACATAAAAATCTACCATAAACAATTTTGCAATTGCATCTGTGTGAGATTTCTATGCAACGTCTCTATAATTTTCTGTCTCTCCTCTTTCTTTTTCGAGTCTTCTACGTGCAACGATCATCATCATCATCATCATCATCATCATCATCATCATCATCATCATCATCAT